CCGTGACCATTTCAAGAGACGCTCGGTACGGAAAGAAGAGATCGGGAAGGAAGAGCATTTCTCTTCGTGTACATTCAGTTTGTATTTCCATGGAATATTTTTAAGCTCTGGAATGTACGAATACATTCCGCCGCGTTGTATGTGATCTCCGCTTCAAGCAGACAGGTAAAGATAATGAGCATTTTAACGCGCGAGTCGTTCTGTCTGGCTTCGTATAAAAGGCGGGTTTTGCGGGTGGCTGAATCTGCAGGCGCATTGTGCTGCTCCTTACATGCGGGTGCATTGATACAGTTCCTCCGTCTCTGTCTCTGAAGTCTTTGACGTGCCTTGTGATTCTGCAGGCCTCCATAAACGCGACTTCCCTCCGGTTTTAAAGAATGAACGCCAAGTAACTATTTTCTTAGCGCACGGTTTCGCGGTTGTCATTAATTCACTGATTGACCTTCGGTGGCCGCGGCGGGGCTGAGTTGTTTCTCGATTGTCACGCGGCACTCCTGTGTTCATTGCAGTCTTCTGCTGGTTATTAGACGTGTACAGTGCGTTTCCTTTAAAAGCGTCGCATCCTCGTACTGTGAGAGTAATCACATAACAGCCGTGGAACGACGTGAAGCTACGCCGATGCAAGGGACAGTCAGACTAGACCCCCGATGGTAAAGACCCAGGAAGTCTCGGAAACTTTGGAAACTAATTCCATCGCGCGAAAAGACAGTGTTGCATTCATCCGTCGTGCAGCCACCCTCCCCTCCGTCGCCAAGTTCTCATATCGTTCTTACCCCGTGTTCACCCCCGTCTTTCAGCCCCTGGGGGGGGGGGGAAGCCCTCGCCAGCTGTGTTACCGTTGGCACAGGTCTAGACCGACGACGGGGGTGGCTGGGTCGGAAGAGGTCTGAATGAGGGTTTCCGGGGCCCTCCTCTATCTGTTTTGGATAATATTGGTACAGGGTGACCTCAAAATCCGTCAGCAACATTTATAGTCCCTGCTGTGCGTAAAGCGTGTGTCAGTGGATTTCAGAACTTCAAGAATCCTGTCTGTGAGTTCCTGAATATTATTTTGCAGAGGATGAACACAAACTTGATGTTTAAAGCAGCCCCATAACAGAAAGGTCGTAGGCGTCGAGTAAGGCGATCTGGGAGGCCATCCCTTTGGACTTCCACGACCAATCCATCGTCCTGATAAGTTCTCATTCAATTCACGTGCCTTCTCAATTCATTGTGACAGTGGGGCGATGGCCCATCTTGTGGAAGAATCATATTTTCTCCGAAATCTTCGTTAAACTGATTCAGTAACCATTTCGAGCATGTCCAAGTAAACGAACCATCACCTTCGGACTGTCCTGCGAATGTTTGACTACGGAATGATGATTTCCTGTTCTTCACATCCTCACACTTTGACGGTTCACACAGTCTGAGCTACTGAAAGCAATTTCATGACTAAACACAGCATGAGATAACAGATCGTAATTTCCTTCCACTCGGTTTAAAAACATTATGACATGAGGTGCGCGTTGTTTCTTTATCACTTTCGGCAGTCGCATGAACCATCTGCGTCGTGGCTAATCGTTTCCGAAAATCTTCCACGCTGCTGGCTGCTGCACGCGTAAATCTTAATTATTCGCCGTGGATCGTTACGAAAGGTGTTCCAAGGTAAGCGTTCCACAGACGTGGCTGAATTTGTCTGCACACCACAGAACACAACGCGATTTATCGACTTTTACCTTCGAAGCGATCCTCACGACTAATTCAGGAACGTCACACGTTCATAGGCTTAGAAAATAATTTTTTTTTAATTCCTCTTTTCAAACGACCGGCGTTCGATCCCCGACAGGGGCAGAGGATTGTTCCTCTAGCCTCTGCGACCAAACTGATTCTGGGGCCCACCCAGCCTCCTGTCCAGTGGGTACCGGGGTCCTTTCTCGAGGATAAAGCGCGGCCGGGACCTGACGCTAACTACTAACCCCATCTAGTGCCGAGGTCAAGAATGAGCAGGAGCTATACCGCCTCTCCCCCCAAGCGCCTGCATGGCGTGTAGCGGGGGACAGCTTTACTTTACTGCCAAAAATGTAATGTCTGTTTATGTGTCTCCTTCAGTTTTACTGAGAAATTGTTGGAAGAATTCAATTATTTTGTAATAATCCTGTGGATTCAACTTGATTCTTCTTGTAATGTTTGAAAGAAACCAAAGTCCGTCGGTGATTTCAGTCGCCTTCCTTAGTAACAACATTCTCCGTAAACAATTACGGATTTTCCGTTTTCATTTGTTCCTGGAAGAAACTAATTTGCGTCGAAAAAACTTTGGCCTTCATTTTCGTAGGCTGCCACGGTGGTCTAGCGGTTAGAACCCTGGCCTTGTAATCCTGGGGTCTCGGGTTCGATTCCCGGCGGTGCCCGAATTTATAACTTGTGTTGGGCAAGGCCGTGGTCTAGGCAACACGGAGTTTTCCTCCGTGGCATCCCAACAATTACTCCATTCACACACAGAAGAAGGCAATGGCAAACCACTTCTGGATCATCTGCCAAGAACGTATATGAACAGGTCCCAGTCCGAGGAAAGGATGGAAGGATCCTGTTCATATGGACCTGTCGTCACACAGAACACTACAAATAAATGACGCTTTAGTCTATCCAGACTGTTAAAAAATAAATGTCAGATTTTATTTTCTGTAAGTAAATAAATTAATTTGTGGCAGTGGGAATCGTGTTGTGTTTCTGCGCGTACTTCCCTATTCGACCTAAAAGGTCATCTTGAGCCCTTCTTTTGTTTAACCTAGATGGGTTCAGTGTTTCGAGGCAGAGGGAAGGCTTTCGACCTGTGGTGCCATTTTTAGCTACTTTAAAAATGATGTTTCTACTTAGCTATTTAACCATAGAAACTGAGTATTTACGTTCCTGAAGATGACATCTTATTTTACATTTGGTGTTACAATTACAAATGAATTATAAATTGATTAGTGACATTCACGAAGTCATAAATCAATTTAAGAAGGCTTACGAACTTGGGGCTTAATTGATGAAAGATTCCCACGTATTTTAAAAAAGTGGAATAATCGCTCTGATCAGGTGCAGAATTTTCATGGCACTAGCAGTGTTGAACAGCTGTAAATCACGAAGATGTTGATCGAGATTCATTTCACGTTCTTAGAACCACACACTTGTTAATTCTGTTTGAAACGGGGAAGATTTGCCACGGCGGTGGAAGGAATCTCTCTTATTATTTATTACGCCTGTTCGTAAGAATGGTGTTAAAACTGACTGTGCCGTTATAGAGGAATGCCACTTATACACAGAACTGATCCAACGTTCTTCTGTCAAGCTTAGTTACATACGTCAAGACAGCCTGTCAGTCAGTTAATGGGGGCGGAGTGTTTCTCTTTGAATTTGACATACCAGTGGAACTAGTTACACTTCGTAGCGTGTGTTTTAAATTAAACTTTTAGTGAAGTACGTACAAGAAAATATTTGTCTGTATATGTCTGTCTGTCGCGCTTTTAATCATCCCCCTAGCAACTAGTCAACCCCCATAGCATCCCCAGGGGAACCTTCGAGCTTTCCTCCACCCTTGGGGCTTTTACCCCATTTTGTCCCAGCGGGGCTCTTTCCTCCAGGGGCCTCTGACTCGCTCAGCTTGCCTCAGTTGGGGCTTTCTTCCCGTAGGTTTGCTCCCCCCCTCCCGTTGGGGCCTTGCGGACCCTTGGGCTCCTGCCGTCTGGGGTTAGATCACCCAGGCCTTAGAAAATCGAAATTGCCCGCAAGGGGGCTATGCCACCTCCGGGGCGTGCAGATTGTGGAGGAGTTTCCTCAAGTTCGGTCTTGTGACCTCTATCTGCCGAATATTTTATATATTCTTGGAGCTCGCTGTTGTAACAGTGACCTTTGTCTACATTACTGCAGCAATGACCTCGGGTCACATTGTTACAAGTGTCTCCGGATACTATTTTGTGCGTCTGATGTTATTACATTTGATTTTTCATTGGTTGCCTGTTATATAGCGTAAAGAACGCTCCTGGAATGTTGTGTACGCCAAATTTCTGACCTTCTTAGAATACCGATTATTAAGAAAAGCAACTTGTAATTGCTCTCATATGTTTTTCGTCTTTGTAGAGGTGATATATTTGCAGAGTAATGCACGCGTAACCATGGGAGCGCATATATAGTATCTGCTGGCGTTACTATGTCAGTACAAGAAATCACTGCGTTATGTGTTGTAATAGCTGAGCCACTCGCAGGTCGTCGAGGTCGTTTGCACTGTGCGTATCCTTTAAAAACGCAGCCCCGTCCTGGACCGATACCTGTCTCGGACCGCGAGTTCTGTATGCTCGGAGCTGTAATCATCGACTTTTGCGTTGGTACTTGTACTCGAATGCATTTATGCTGTATAGTGACTTACTACGGGCTGGACGTCCGGGGTTCGATCCCCGACGGGGGCGGACAATTTTTCCTCTATCCTCTGCGTCCAGACCTTCTTCTCTGGGGCCCACCCAGCCTCTTCTACAATGGGTACCGGGGTCCTTTCCCGGGGGTAAAGCCGGCCGGGGCGTGATGCTGACCACTCACCCCCATCTAGTGCCGAGGTCAAGAATGAGTAGGAGCTATACCTCCACTCCCCCCAAGCGCCTACATGGCGTATAGTGGGGCAAACTTTTTTTAACTTTTTTTATGGAACGACGTTTTATAGCCGGCTAAAATGTTTGTTTCTATTCACAAATTATGTGCCAGAAACACCTTTGAATTTTAGGGCACGTTTTTATAAACCCGGTATTTTGAAGTTCCGTGATTTTTTTTAAATATTTCCCCGGTTTTGATTCTCTGCATCGCAGGGACTGGCGCAAACCACTTTCCTTCTCAGAGTGACATCTGTTAGTCGGTCATTACTATCGTGTCCTCCGCGCACCGAATACTCAACGTTTGGCGCCGACGATACGATAATTTTTGGTCAGCTAATGTCAGAAAACTAATTTCTTCCTGTGTTATTTACTTGTTTGCAAATGTGTGTTTCTGTGCAGGTGCCCCTGGTGTCCCGAAGACAGAAAGCTGGATTGGGTTCCTCGTCTGCGGATCTTCCGGGAGTCGCCGTCCCCGTCGACCCGACAACTGAACGCAAGAAGGCTATATGGCTCAAGACGCAAAAGCGTTACCAACAAATATAATAGTAACTTGTAATGTAGAAACAAGATCAAACATAAATTCGAAGTTTTTTGCATTGAATGGTTTTATTATTAACTGCAGTATTCGATAGTCCTTATCTCAGAATTCATATTGAAAGGATTTCAGATTTTAGGAACGCAGTGTTCGTCACTAGACAGAGCAGTGCAACTGAAACCATTGCTTCTCTCCATTTGGTATCTTTCTGTTATTGGAAGTGGAGTAATCGCTTACTGTCCGTCCTTTAGTCATGCTAAAAATAAGGGTAATTGGTAACTGCGCTCCGGTTATTAAGACATTGAACATTTGTAGCTCAGAACGTGAGCTGGCGCTGTGGCGCCACACTGTCAAAGACGACCGAAGCCCGAAGTACAGTCCGCAGACCAGGAGAAAATCCCTGCTACGAATTAGATATACGCGCATGCGCAAGATTTCGCGGTGAGTGACGACCCATCCTAAAAGCATTCGTTCCACAACCACTGAACGAACAACAGACAACAATCTTTCATGAGTTCTGATGTGTACAGCTTTAAGATTACCTCACAGAGGCACAGCGATTTAATCTAGAATATTATCGCAACACCCACAGAACACATTAGAAGTGCGCTCACTACACGCTACTCTTAACTGCTTGATGTTTTCAGTCTGTGTAGTAGCGTAAAACTCTGACGTATCACACTTCCCACCAATAGCAGCCCTCTAGTCGACCAGGCAGTAAACATCCCCCCCGCACCGCACCAGAAACGATTTCCCCTTGCAGGGTTTTTCTCGTGATCTGTGGACAGTACTTGCGGTTACCACGGCAACTTCTGGAATCCTAGTAATGTACAGGACAGTGATTGGAAGCCAAAACTTCGCGTGCGTGACGACAGAGTTAATCGAAAGCGTTAGCCTGCAGCGGCGACAGGAGTCAGGCTCTCACTGGCAGTGGTGGATGATGATGACCTGGTCCACAGACGATCTCGGGAATGCTGGATTCTTTTCCGCCTGTCAGTCTCATGTAAGGTTCAGGTTAAGGCAAGGAGTGAGCTGGTAAGGCGTTTCCTGAAATAACGGCCACCGTTATGCGTTCTGACAACTGCTTCTCGGTTTTACGAACTGGTAGTAGGCGCGGGTACCATGCCTCTTGAAGTTTTACTTCATTTTGGTGGCGTTAAGACACGTTGCCGAGGTGATGGCGCGAGAACTGTACCTCATTCTACACGTACGTAGATTATTCACAGTTAACAGCATTGTGGTTCTTGAATGTACTTCTGAGACGAGCCAGCGAGCCCGCTGTGTCGCCGTCAGAGAAAGACGTATTTCTAATGTGAGCAGCTGTTGAGCTTAGCCAGAACGACTGTGCGCGTCTTAAAGACGAAGACTTGGATGTCTGCGAGTCTCAGCTTGAATTAAACCTGGTGTTAAATCATTACTGAAACAGAATATGTAGTCATTTATTAATATCTTATTTAACGACGACTTTTAGTAGCGTCGAATCAGAGGATGACAGTGAATAATGAATTGGAAGGAGTGTGGAAGGAATCGGTACTATCCCGGCATTTGCTTGGACGATCTGAGTAAAACCACGAAAAATCCCAGTTATGATAGCCATTCGGTTTTATACAGAAGCGGTATCAGATGTCTTACTAATGATTTTGAGTTGAAGAAAATTATTGAGAATGTACTGTTAACCTATAGCCACGCTGGCCTTGTAATCCTGGGGTCTCGGGTTCGATTCCCGGCGGTGCCCGAATTTATAACTTGTGTTGGGCAAGGCCGTGGTCTAGGAAACACGGAGTTTTCCTCCGTGGCATCCCAACAATTACTCCATTCACACACAGAAGAAGGCAATGGCAAACCACTTCTGGATCATCTGCCAAGAACGTATATGAACAGGTCCCAGTCCGAGAAAAGGATGGAAGGATCCTGTTCATATGGACCTGTCGTCAGACAGAACACTAAATAAATAAATGTTATTAACCTGCATGCAGTGGCAGACCTCATAAAGTGCCATTTTAATCAATTTCCACGGCGTTAAAATGAAGTGTGGCCTCCGAATCGATTTAAAAGGGCCGAATGTGAACCCACGTCTGGAAGAGGTTGATAACCCCTGATATAACAACTTGTAAATTGCTAGGTGGATTTTCATTGAATTTAATATGGACTGTATTCCGTAGGAGGCTAGGCCTATTCAGGTGCTCATTTACGCTTTAGCATTCGCGAAGAACATCTTATGGACACGTTCATTTCTGTCTCTCTAGTTCTCTACATTCTTCCAGGAATGGTTTGGGATCACATTGGAGACCTAGATACCATTACTACGTGTCTTATTCCTTTGGTTGCCCTGCTGACGTCATCGCCCGTCATGTGGCGTAAAGAATACCTTTGAAAGTTTAATGTACTCCATGGAGGACATCTTTCACATATTTTCAGTCTTCCGCAGTCAGAATTCGGATAACAAAAGAAGTCAGAAAATGCGTTATGGTCAGATTGCAGTGTTGACGGATGTGGATGGCCATGAATCCTGCCTGACCTTGGAACGAACATCGTGCCCCGTGGCACCATAACCTGCGACCGTCGGATGTCCTGGAAGATTGGGGCTAAGGACTGTCTCCTGCCACGGTTATGGTGCCACGGGTGTTCCGCCCATATGATTTCAGAATAACCGGCATTAGACGAGGGATCTCCGTTGTTGGCGTTAAGGTTCGGTGTAAGCCAGTGAAACTTCACCGTGTAATTCCAACATTGGCCGATCTTCCGTCCTGGAAGGACGACCCTTGTCTCTCCGTGGGTTCCGTTAGTGATCTGTTGGTCCTCTGGAGCGGATTGACGTTGTTGGTATCTTGATTGTAAATCGCATGGCAGTATATCCCATTCGTCATTACAGAACAATAACCATTGTAGGCGTATTCTCCGAGGTATGACAGTGGGCGTCGAAAGTCTAAGTGCCTCGAATATCGATGACACGGTAGAACAAACCTTGAGCTGAAATACACGTTATATGATTTAGATATTCGAGATGAATCCGAACGCTTTGAGGTACAGATGGCTGTCGAGGACCATCTGTGGATGGATGCTGGAGCTCATGGGCAGTTTTAATGTTGCCGACTTCGTCAACCAAGTGGTAGTTGTGTGTAGTTTAGAAGGGAGGCTGTTAATTACTGTCTCATTTGCGTAAATAATAGTCTCCACCGATGAGTAGTTCAGAAGCTGTTTCTGTAGTTGAAGAGTATCTTGAATCTTGTTATATTCGTCAACGAATAGGCTTAGGGCTCCTCGAGGAACTGAACTTGTTCAGCTAAGACAAACGCTGAAACAGTTGGCTCGTAGCACTTCACCGGCTGTTCCACCGAAGTCTTCTATAGGGTCCTCTGGAGGCGGTTAACTTGTCTGTGCATTTCCTCTACATCTGATGTATAAGCCACTAGGTAGAAGAAAAACTGTATGCCCTGCTATCAAAGTGTCTTTTTTGAGCGTATCCGTCGAATGTCGCTTGTGATGTTGCAAACAAAATGGTGTGGCAGGTGGCAAAGTCCCTTGTCGTTGACAAATCAGTCTTCAGACGTGTTTCATGAAGTCTCGTATTCGTCCAAGTATTTATTATAATCCGGGCGAAGGTCAGTGCGTTTGTGTGTTCGTCTTTATAGCTGCCGGAGTCAGTGCAGTCCTCTTCATGTTCCTCGTCCTCACGCCCACCCATCTACCATGTGTCCGGTGACCCACCTCCGTTTTCTGACTGTTCAGGCGAAGGCTCTACCTTGACTGTCAATGTCCAATATCTGCAACCGATTATCGTCCTGATGATAGAGGTTGCAAGGACCTGTGAAACGGTGGTAAATCTCTACCAGCCTACACGGCGCTACAGCCCAGAAGACTGTCATCTTCAATGTGTTAAATTAGAATTAGTGGTACGCCAGCAAAAGAGGTTGAGAACCCCTGGTCTGGAAGGTAATTAGAATGACAAGCAACAAAGGTAACATGGCCGTCTGCGCACGATTCCGTCATGCTAGCCCATAAGCTGAATTGCATTTTACTGTTGATTTATGAAATCAGATACGTAAATGCAACGCTGTCAACACACCATCTTCGGTGGAATGAGTCAGTGGACTTCGTGAAGAAATTCGATTGTGTCTTTCCTCATCCCACATTTCTTATAACTCAACAATCGCTGGGCAGTTTTGGATGACAGTAGATAAGTAGGTAAGGATCCATTATCAAATCTTAATTATTCCATTGATTGCACTGAATGAGTACCACATTATTTTGAAACTATGTTAAATGTGTGCAAACAATGCCCTCTGTATTAATGGTACACATTTCTGTTATATTTTCTTTAATATTTCCGATCATCAGCGGCTTCCGTAATTGAGCTTTAAGAAGAACTGAGAACAAAATGTTTAAAATTGTGATAATGAAATTACAAACTTAATTTCATCATCCAGAGCGAGCTATATATGCTTTTACATTTACAGTTTTATTTAATATTCTTAATGCCTCAGATTCAGTAATTGTGTCACTGTTGCATTATTCTTTCATACGATTAGCTAATACCTTTTAAACAACCCCATGCAAATTGTTTTGTGGTCTTTGTTCCGCGCGCAGGGTCACAACACGGTCATTTGTTCTTGTACTCATCAGTTGGCTTTAAATTCCGCGTCTTTATGTTGATCATGTTGGTACCGAACTGCAGTGAAAGATGGCGGCTCGAGAAAGTGCGGTTTACGAGTTTTGTGTGCGGAATTGTGTTGTCTCGTGTTCCTCTTACGTTTTTACAGTCGCAGTTTATCAACATTGGCAGCCTAGGATATGTGATTAGTTAATTGAAGCACATCTTCGGTGAAGACTTTGTACGTAAGTCATAATTAATACTAAATGCTTTGATCAGTGTTTCTTGTTTGTTTCTTTTTGTTACGGTGTGGAAGACAGGTGCAGCCAACTTAGGATAAATGACAAGTCCGAGTTGTGTATGGAATCTGTACACACACCTAATGGCTCACAGTGCTTTCGATTTCATTATTGCTTATAATTTTGAATGTGTTGCAAATTCCATATTGTATAACTCGGGTTCATACGATACAGAAGATCCAGAAGTTACGCTACCCATCCCGGACACATGTTCTGTTTGTCAAAAAAGATAATAGATTGCGTTGGCATCAGGAAACAGAAGACGATGTTATTTTAGGCGTGGGAAATGTCTACGGCGTTCAGCGATGCGTGCGTTCACTCTGTTCCGAGTACTTCAAACCCTGACGTTGTTATTGGGATTTTTTACGGACGTTTCATAAGCTAACTAGGTTTATTTCACGTTATGCGAATTTTAACAAGTGAATGCAAAATAATTTACAATATCGCCTATTATCAGTACCAGTAGCCAAAACATTAAACGTATTGACAAAATTGTCATGATGTTTCTTAAAATTCTTATTTTCATGTCGCAAAATTATTATTCTTTTGACGTTTGTTTAACGGAGCTGTCAGAAACTGAGATTACGCTATGCTGTACTTCTGGTGATAAGACGAGGTTTCAGGTTCTCACGTCTTCCGGCGAGTATGACTTCTTGTTCTCTGGGTTGTTACGCCGTGTACTTGGTAGAATTTTACCGACGTTTCAGAGGTGCACCTCTGAAACGTCGGTACTACTTTAAGCAACATCCTATAAGACAAGATGTCATCATACATTGAGAGCGTCTAAGAACAGGTTCTGAGGAGACTATTGGGACCGGAGGATGGAGGCGACAGGAGGCTAGAGAAAATTACACAATGAGGAGTTACTTAATTTGTTCCCTTAGATAATTTTAGGGTGATCAAGTGTGGGATAATGAGATAGGCGGGGCATGTAGCGCGCATGGGGGAAGATGAGAAATGCTTACAGAATTCTGGCTAGAAAGCCGGAAGAGAGGAGAACAGCTGAGCGTACCAGTAGCGTCTGAACGAGGTCTCCGCCCCATAGAGTCATATTCCTTGATAGATGTGATGTGAGTGTGTATTGGGTTGATTGATGCATCGATTGTGGCAACATTTTCATGCGATTAGAACTCCTACGGGCTTGAGGAGAAACGTGAAGGGAAAGTGTCAATTTATTTAATTTGTGATTTGACGGAAAATATTAAAATATTAACCTAATTCACAATATGACGCAAATATACTACCTTATTTTTCATGTATTAGTTGGTTACGATTTTGATCGATTAGAATGTCCTGGAGAGTGATGTTTGTAAATGTATTTAAATTCGCCTTGGAATTTATTTTATAAGTTTGCACGTCTGAACACGTAGCCCTGTTGAATTTAATGAAATTGTGCTTTCATGAAGTCGAGTGAAGTAGTTTCATTTGTAATACTTTCTTGTCTCGCGTAATACAGGACGCTTTTGTCTCTAAAGGATGGTTTTATTTTGTCTTACATGTTCTGTCAGAAAATTTAGTCATTTTGTTTTCACAGCTTCTTGTCGTTTCTTGGCTCTACAACCCGGTTGTAGGTTTTCGTCGCCTCCTTTTCGGAGGTTTCTTGGCCTTGAAGTGTGCATTTATGTCAGACAAAGACTCAATCATCAGTTTCGTTTCTTCGGCAGTCCACATCTTCTTTGTTCTCTTTGCGTCCTCCGCGTCCTGCATTTCTGCTCTCGCGAGAGTGAATGAAAATTCAGCTGTGTTGAACTTCGTAGAGCAGCTCAATTTAGAGTTTTAGAGAGTGGTCACGGCCTCTATCGCTGTATGATTTACACGACGAGAGCCGATCGCAGATCTCTTCTCTCTCTTTTCTCTATTTAGACTTTAGACTAATGAAAATATCTGCTCTCGCGGACAGTTTATACACGCAGGTACGTGATGACTATGAACCCTAAAACCCTCGCCGTGTAAACGTAGCATTAGTTCGGAGTGACAAAGCATCCGTGGATTAGGTTACAGACATCTATTACTGAAATGTGTTTTTCGACGCATGACAGTGGCTAAAGTAGTTGTGTTTGTACGAGGTGCGATCGGAAAGTTTCAAGACTGTGCATATAAAAACCTGTACACTTATCTCAGGTATTACATTCATCCATCACCCTCGAAGTAGTTCCCCTGGGAGTGAACACAACGATCCCAGCGCCGCTGCCAAGCCTGGAAGCATCCCTGGAAATCTTTCTTTGTCAGCCTGTCAAGCACCATCTGCGATTCTGTCTGAATCTCTTCTATCGTCTCAAATCTCCTTCCCTTTAGCTGAATTTTCATCTTTGGGAAGAGGAAGAAGTCACACGGAGCTAAGGAGGGTGCGGGATGACGGCCATGGTGTTTGAGGCCAAAAACTGCCGAACTTTGAGGGCGGTGTGCGCTGGCGCGTTGTCTTGATGCGTCGCATGTGGAGTTCTTCCTTTAGAATCAGCTGACAGGTCCCATAGCCTATCCCAACAATGTCGCACAAGTCGTTGATGGTACGACGTCGATCTTCGTAACTTTTTCGGGCGTTGTGCTCGAAGATGGTCGTCCAGAACGCTCGTCATCATCGACAGAGGTTCGGCCGGCCCTTTTTAAAACGTGAATGCCACACAAAAGTTTGCGGACTCCCCAAATGTTTGCTTTAGCATTTCATAGGTTTCCTTAGCCGTTTTGGCGAGTCTTTGGCAAAATTTGATGCACACGCCATTCCGAAATCGCAGGAGGGTCGGTGTAATGCACTACCAAAACGCCCGTAACTAAGAAACAAATGCTAATTCGATGATGCCGGCTGGCACACTGATTCACTATGAATGTAGGCCGCACCTCCTAGCGGCAGAAGCTCGTACTACATCCGGTTCGCCCTCTATTGACACAGTCTTGAAACTTTCCGATCGCACCTCGTATACCGGAGGTGGTTTTTAGTTGAACGTAAGGGCTTACCGCACTGAAAATTGTTTAATTCGGAATTGTTTCAAGAGAGAGTTACGTCTTATTTTATGAAGTCTACTCGGCTCTTATCCAAATAAGGTGCTGTAAAGTTATGTTAATTGTATATATCATAGAGATATTTACATATAATTTTCTGACTTTAAAAGTTGTTGGTTCTGTGCTGTAAAGATATGAACGTAAAGAATGTATTATCTGACGGTCTGTTCAGACGTTTATAAATTGCAGCAGACGGAATGCCAACACAGCGGGTTTTTTTTTTTTTGGTTCCTTGGTTCTTACGCCCTCAATTTATCATAGTGATGTGCAGTTTCCTAGCTTCGGATTGCACTTGCTAGGCGCAGCTCAGTCGTTGCACGTTCAGGAAGGTCAGGTCGCACGTCTTCTCTTCTCTGCACCCTCCGGCTGTCATGACTGGGATTTTCCGTAGCCTTCGCGCTCCCCCGGGCGCTCACTGAGCCAGCGTGTTCAGATAGGTCAGGGTTCCTCAGTCGCCGCCTTCTGCTGGAAAATGAAGACGGTTTAATCACCACAATCGTTTTTAACACAACGCGAAATAAATAGGTGGTTCTCAGACTTAACATTTGGCAACGAAGTATTTTTGAGTATCCTTCGAACAAAAACTTGTGTTCCAAGTAAGTTTGTTTTTGATTTACAGCAAAATGTTGAGAATGCTGAATCAAATTCGCCCCCGCGTATTTGGGAAACGTCGACGCTCTCGGTGGGACTATTGGTTAGCGTGCTCGCCACTGGACTGAATGTTCGCGGGTTCAAACCCGGCCGAGGTCGACGGTCTCATGTCGAAGATTTACGGCATGTAAAAGAACCTTACGAGCATGATACGAGATGTTTCGTAAGCAAAATTCAGTGGCCATTTCTCACCCAAGTCTCTCCTGATTCACTACTAGATGGCTCTAGTAGTCAAATCAGGATTTAGTAGAAATTTTGCAGAGGCGGTGGGATTGTCACTCATTGCTCATAAATGAACACTTATTATTATTTAGTGTTCTGTCTGACGACAGGTCCATATGAACAGGATCCTTCCATCCTTTTCTCTTCTCGGACTGGGACCTGTTCATATACGTTCTTGGCAGATGATCCAGAAGTGGTTTGCCATTGCCTTCTTCTGTGTGTGAATGGAGTAATTGTTGGGATGCCACGGAGGAAAACTCCGTGTTGCCTAGACCACGGCCTTGCCCAACACAAGTTATAAATTCGGGCACCGCCGGGAATCGAACCCGAGACCCCAGTGTTCTGACCGCTAACCGTGGCGGTAATGAACACTTATAAAAATACAAAGAAACCTCCCACATGGTAGGAGGCCAATACTCCAAATTATCGATCGTCCGTCATCTCTGCCAGTGTATCGAATTAAGACCTCTTTCATAAAAGCGCGAGTCATTTATACTGAAAATAGTATCTGATGTAGAGTTGTTAGGCTAAGTTCTCTTCAGCTTAATCGCGAGACCTGCTTAGGTACTTCACAGATGCAAAGGAAATAGGTTGATGAACTACATCAGTTGATTCATCACCATCCCATCAACCCAAAGAACACTGCATTCAGTCCGTTTCATGAACTCACAATCGATGCCACATTTAATCTCGATGGTTCTTGACGAATCTGTAAAACATTAACGTGCAATTTATCACTCGATTTCCACCAAAACATGTACGTGTGGCGGGATAGGACAACACCCTGTATGCGCTGTTGTAGTCACCACACACTTAGCCTGATTATCTGTTAACTCTGTGCTGGCCCACGGGTATCGCCTGCGCTGTAAACAGAAACGTATAGTCCGGGGTTGTATGGGTCAGTTTGCTGATAGCTGCCAGCGAATCTGTTGAGTCTTTAGCGAAGTAATTCTTCAAGGCGTAAGAACGTCACTTCGTAGCACGCCCCTTCTGCGAATTATACGTGTAGTGAACAAATACGAATTACAAGTAGCACAGTTACGATCAAATGTCTAATTCAATGGCTCTACATATGG